GGGCGTCGGGGACCGCGGGTCGCGCCGCGGCAGGTCTCGACGCACGCGGTGTTTTGGCGACGTCGTGGACCGCATCCGATTCGATTTCGCTTTGCAGCGAAGGCGAAGCGAAGACAAAACAAGGGAAAACGAAAACAACGTGAAAACGATAAATATTGCCCTGGTCGAGCCCTGCGCCGCGGGCCGGGCAAACCTCTGACCCCCGACGGGCCCTCGCCAAAGTCCTTGGCGCGAGCCGGCTCGCTCTCCTCCGCGGTTGCTGTTCCCCGCGACCGGGAGTTCATTGGCGCCCGCGCCCTCCCCGCCGCCGCGCAGGGGGCGCCCCCTCTCGCGGGGCGCTGCCGCCCGAACCGCGGCCGCGGACGCCGCGCCGCCCCGCGCTCCCAGTTTGCCTCCGCCCCACCCCTATCGGTCGGCATGCCCCGCTCCAGCGATGCTGCCACGGCCCCGCAGTGACAGTGTCACGCCGCCGCCGGGGTGGGCGGCGCGCTTCTGGGCGCGACCCTCGCGCCGACTGCGCCTGGAGCGGCGTCGGCCTCTGCGACCGCCGCGCGCCCTGGGCCGCGGCCGCGTCGCGAGGGCCCTCCTGCCGCCAGCGCTGTGCCTGGCGCCCCGTCTCCCGGCATCTCTGTCGCCGGCGGCCGCTGCTCGCGCTGCTCGCGGCTCGCGCCGCGTTTGGTCCGCCCTCTTCTCTCCGCAAGGAGTCGGCCCTGCCGGAAGGTGCTTCCGCGGCGGTGGATTGGCGCGTGGAGGCGGCTGGCGAGACGATCGCGGTCGTCCGCCAGCTGCCGGGATGGGCGACTTGTCCCAGGGCGCCTTGTCGTGGCATCGCTAGTTCGCGCCAGACGGGCCCGACCAGGTGGGCGACCCCATCGGATTTGTTTTGCCTCCGCACGGCTTTCGACCAATACCGCCGCTTGTTTCAGGCGGGCGGCGCGCGCCCCACTGAGGGCCTGGGCGATCTGCCTCCCGCGGGTGCCTTCGCACCCGCGGGCCGCCCGACGGGGGCGGGGAGCTCCTTGGCGCCCCGGCGCAAGGAGCCATCCGCGGCGTCGGGCTGTGGGGCAACGCCGCCCGGCGACGCTGGGCCGCCGCGGCAGCGGCCATCTCTGGTTGTTTTTGGCACGCGACCTCGGAGGGCAAGGACTTTCCCGCCTCGGAGTGGGGGGGCCGCGGGGTGCCTCGGCAGCTGCAGCGCGCATTCGCAGGGCACCCCTCTGGCAAGGTGCCTCCTGCCCAGCGCCGCGAGGCCACGTGGCAGGATCGGCGATCGTTCGGGGCGGTGGTCTCCGCGACCCGTGCCCTCCCTGCGGAGGGAGGTCGAGGCTGCTGCGCGCCGCGTCGCCCGCGACGCGGACGCCCCTTTCGCCGCTGCGCGGACGGGCGTCGCCGTCGATTCCGACGTCGATTTCGACAGCAGGGAGGCCCGCCCCCTTCCGCTCATCGCCTCGCAGCGCGGGCGGGCGGTGCATGTCGCCAGTAACTTGGCGGACGCGAGGCGGGGCGCGGGGGCGGCACCTGGGCCCTGGGCCGCCCCCGCTGCGCGCGCGCTGCCTCTGCCTTCGCCCGGCAGTCGCGGCGCCTGCAGCCGCCGCAGCCGCCGCCGCCGCTTCAGATCTCGGGCTTAGTCTTGCCCGTCCTCGCGCCTCGCGCACCCCCCTTGCACGCGAGTCGCAGTTCGCTGCTCTTCAGATGGGCGGGCGTTCGAAGTCCATCGACGCATTCGACCTGCGGGTCGTAGAGCATTCGCATCGCACCTGCAACTTTGCTCCGCAGCGGGGCCCTGCTCGCTCGGTACCTCGCCATCTCTGGCGCGCTTCAGGGCGCGGGATTCCGCGGTATATTTCGGCGCGCTCTACGCTCGGCAGTCAGTCCGCGAGCCCTCGCCGGCGCGCCTTCCTCGCGGGAGCTTGGGGTGTTGCCGCTCAGTGGAAGTTGGCCGGGGATCCGAAGCCAGTGCCTCGCTCGTTGCTGCGTGCGACGGCGGGCGTCAGTCTTCCCTGGGGCCAGCCGCTGATGGCAGCGCTGCTGCTTATGGGTTTCGCCGCGCCCCTTCGCCCCGGCAGGCCCTGGGGGCTCGTGGCCCGCCGCGCCGACCTGATGCAGCGCGCGCGCTGCTCGGGCAGGGGCGCGGCGGAGCTGTTCGAACTAGCGCGTCGGCGCGCGCGACCCGCCGATCTGCTCGCGCCCTCCGGGCAAAGCGGCGCCAGCACTTGGCGGTGCCATGCGCTCATGGCTTTGGGCGCCCCATTTGCCGGAGCGGGCTCGGGGTTGAACCTCGCGCCCGGCTGCCCGCGGGGCCCTGGGGCAACTGATTTCGACATGGCCGCGGAAGATGTTCCTTGCGTCTTCGGGCGCGGGCGGTGGCGCGGGGCCTCTGGTGCTGAGCGCTGTCAGCAGGCTACCGCCCTCTCCGAGCGCGAACGCGCGTTGCCTTCTACGCCGCTGCTAGCGACCGCCTTGTCGCTGCTTTTCTTATCGCTTGCCCCTCTGCGCGGCCGGCCCAACTCGCGGCCGCCCGCCGAAACCTTGTCGCTGTTCAAGAGCATCGAGCGTGGGCATGATGCTTCGCCTCCAACGTCCAAGCAGGCTCCCCCGCGTCAGCGGCGTCGCGCGGCCCCCGCCCGCAGCGGCCCCGGGCGCGCTGGGAGATTCTCGCGGCGCCCGTCGCGCCGACCGCCCGAGACCGCTCGCTCGCGCTGAGCGCGGGAGAATGCTTCTTTCATGATCCTCGCCTCTTGCGCTCTCGCGGTCTCTGCAGCTTCTCGCCCCGCCCCCCCCCTTCTACCTCTCGCCGAGGTTGACCTGCGCCGCTGCCGCTTCGCCATGGGCGACCAAGCGGGCCCCCCCGTCTGAGCGGCGCCGCGCGGCCCGCGCGCGCGGCGGCCCCGAGCGCGATCGGGGGCTTTCGTGCGCGCCCATCGCGCCGACCGCCACGGGGCCCGCTCGCTCGCGCGGAGCGCGGGCCGGCGACGACGACGGCGGCGATGCTGATTTACGAGGGCGCCAGTGGGGCCTGCCGCCAACGCGCAAGCTAACAGTTGATGCGCCCAACCGGGCGAGTTGAAAGGTGACAGGTGACGTCGTGCATGTTGGTGAAGATTGCGTTGGTGATGTTGTTTCTTGTTCAAATGATGTTGGCCATGATGATGACGACGATGCTGCTGTTAATGGTGATGATGATGATGGTGACGACGACGGCGGTGCTGATGATGATTGCGATTCTGATGGTGCTAACAATGGTAGTGATGATTGTGATGATGATAATGGTGGAGTTGGTGGCGGTGGTGGTGACCTGGACGTTGGTGACGATGTTTCTGTTGGCGATTATGATGATAATGGTGGTGATGATGTTAATGATGATGATGGCCCAGGGACCTGCCACCAGCGTGCGAGCTAACATGTGACTGGCCTGGCCGAGAGTGTTTTCAGGTGACAGGCGCCGCCCTGTATGATGGTGCTTTGTATTTGATGTTTGCTTGTGACTGTTGTGATGTTGCTGGTTTCGGGGGCCTTCTTGGAATCATTTTGGCCCACATTGGACGCTGCGCCCCCGCGCGGGGAAGCCCGCCCAGACCCCCGGGAGGTGGCGCCGAAAGGGATACACCCTTTCACGGAGATGAGGCCGGGAAGTCCTGCCAGCTCTGAAGAATTCGTTTGGCTGAGCCTCTCACGTCTTAGCGCCACGGTGGGGCCTGCCACCAACGCTCGAGCTAACAGGTGGCGGGGCCCGTTGTGGGGGAACTAACAGGTGACAGCCGTCCCGGGCGAGCTAACAGGTAATGGCTTCTTGACGAAGGTGAGGAAGGTGGCGGGCAGCACAGAGGGGCAACGAGGCGCGATGCTGATGTTGCTGATGATGATGGTGGTGGTGATGATGATGATGGCGATGGTGATGATGACGGTGATGGCGGCGATGATGATTATGATGACGCTGACGATCACCAAGATGATCATAGCCATGATGATGGTGATGACGATGATGGTGATGATGGTACCGGTGAGAGCGAAGATGAGGATGACAACCATGGTGACAATGATGATGATAATGGTGATGATGATGGTTGTGGTGGTGTTGATTTGGATGTTGACTGCTGATGCGGGAGTGTGATGATATGAAGGAGGATGATACATAACAAATAAGATCTAGTTGTAGCAGTCGGGTACATGGATCGTAAAGCACACGAATCAGACAAGGTTTGATACAAGTCCTTTACCGAGTTCGTGGGTCCCTCAATTTAATTTTCTCGTGGCCCGTGGAGGACTCCTGGGGTCGGAAAACTCGGCGGCGCGCACAAAGGGAATGAGCGGGGGGAGCGCGGGGGGCAAGCTTCTAAGAATGCGGGGGTTGTTCTCAGAAGCGTTTGAATTCCTACAGGAAGGCTTCACGCAGCTGGGGTTTCTCAGAAGCTCCGTAGTTTTTCATAAGTTCCCCCGCCTTTTTTCGGAAGGCTGCCCCCTTCGCGCACCCGTTGTGCGCGCCCAAAAACATGAAAAGCTCCCAGGAAATCTTTTCCTGTTCCTCCTGTACCTCCAGTGCCCGCGACGACAAGTATCCTGTTCGTCCTGTTCCTCGTTCCTGTTCCTCCAGTGCCGACTTCTGCTCCTGGTTTTCCTTGTCGTGTTGTTCCTCTTGTTTTTCCTGTTCCTCCAGTTCCCCTCTGCCTGTCCCTCCAGTATCGCTTCAGATCAATTCGCCAGAGAGTTCAGGACTCTCTGGCGGCCCCCATCCACTCATGCTCGGTCATCCATCTCCGGGCCGCGCGGGACAGCCAGAGACCCAGGAAATGTTCGAGCGTATCACTAATACGATGTCTTGCTTACCGCAAGTCGGTGGATGTCCTACTGGTTCGCATGGCGACCTTTCGATTTGCACTGCTGCTGGCGCATCGTTGAGTCAAGCAGGGATGGTCGCGCTCTGCGCTGCTCTTCCTCCTCGAGGGAAACATGTAAGGACTTCTTTATCCTCCAATGATCTCCGGCAGGGCCCTTGCCCCGAGGACAGCGCGCGCTTGGAGTTTTGCCGGCAGGTCAGCATGTGCAGCGACACGGGGTCGGTGAGGCCCTTGAACGAGGGCCAGACGGGCGAGGTCCTTGCGGGGGCCTGTGGGGCTGCGGAGGAGGATGTGGACTGATGCCGATGATGATGACGATGATGATGATGATGATGATGATGATGATGATGATCATGACGATGATGATGATGATGATGATGATGATGATGATGATGATGATGATGATGATGATGGTGATGGTGACGGTGATTGTGATGGTGGTGGCGGTGATGATGGTGATGGTGTTGGTGATGGTGATGGCGATGGCGATGGTCATGATGGTGATGCTGATGGTGATTGTGATGGTGATAGTGATGGTGATGGTAATGATGAAATTGATGTAGCTGATGCTGATGTTGATGGTGCTGATACTGATGTTGATGCTGATGCTGATGCTGCTGGTGATGGTGATACTGATGATGATGATGATGATGATGATGATGATGATGATGTTGATGTTGATCGTGCTGATCGTGGTGGGGATGATGATGATGCTTATTATGGTGGTGTTAATGATTCTGATGAGGATGATGGTGGCGATGGTGGTAGTGGTGATCATGATGTCTATGATGGTAGTGGTAATACAGATGATGATGCTGATGCTGCTGATGAGATTATGATGATTATGATTTTTTATTGTTATGATGATGGGGATGCTGATAATGGTGGTGTCGGTAGTAATCGTGGTGGTGGTTGTGGTGATGATCGTCATGGGGGTCATGGTAATGATGGTGCTGATGCTGATGAGGCGGAAGAGGGGGAAGGAGGAGGAAGAGGAGAAAACGGGACGAAGAGGATGAGGAGGAGTCGAAGGAGGAAGGAGGAGGAGGAAGAGGAGAGGAGGAGAGCACGAAGCGGAGAGAGGAGGCGCAGGAAGGATGTGGAGGAAGAGGAGGAGGATGAGGCTAATGATGATGCTGCTGATGCTGATGGTGACGGTGGTGGTGGTGATGATGCTGATGATGACGGTGATGATGGTGATGCTGATCTTCATCCTGATGCGGGCGGTGATGGTGATGTTGCTGCTGCTGATGATGATGATGATGTGGAGGAGACAAGGGGGATGAGGAGGTGGAGGTGGGAGGAGGAGGAGGAGGAGGTGGGAGGAGAAGGAAGATGAGGATGACGGGTGATGATGATGATGAAGGTGATGATTTTGATGATGATGATGATGATGATGATGATGACGATGGGGATGATGGGGATGCAGGATGAGGATGATGTTGACTTGATGATGATAATGAGGATGAGTCGTTGGAAGCAGGATGATAATGAGGAGGAGGAGGAGGAGAAAGGAGAGGAAGCAGGAGGAGGAAGAGGAAGAACAGGAGAGCAGGAGGAGTAGGAAGGATATGGAGAAAGAGGAGGAGGAGGAAGCAGGAGGAGAAGGAGGAGGAGCAGGAGAGCAGGAGGCGCATGAAATATTTGAAAGAAGAGGAGGCGGATGAGGAGGAGGAGGAGGAGGAGGACGGATGAACATTCTGATGTTTATGAGGAGGATGAGGAGGACCAGTGTAAACCCAAGACTTGGCAACGATGTTGGAATAAACGATCCCGCCAATATTTCTTCTCATAGGCCCCTACAAGGGTTCATTCCAACTGAGAGAAGTGTCCCGTTGGGAGGCAGCCGTTTGAAGGTGCTGAGACGTGCCAAAGCACCGTTCTCGGGACTCCAACGCCATGAATCAGCCTTACTGTTGCATCTTGACGGTCCTGAATAGTGCCAGAACTCCGTTCTTGGGACTTCAACACCGCGAATCAACATCACTGGTGCGCCCTGACAATCCTGAGTCGTTCCGGCTCACCGTTTCTGGTACGTGAACCAGGGGAACCCATGAAACTCTTGCAATTGTTCGAGACGAACGTGCGCGGCGCTAAGGCGAAGAGCCACATTTTGAAAAGGATTTGCCCTCAATCCTTGATTTTTACTGGCAATCCTAAAAAGCGAATGCGCGCTGGCGCCAGGGCGATGATGATGATGCTGATGATGATGGTGGTGTGAAGGATGATACTGTTGCTTTTTATTATGACAGCGCTGTTGATTATGATGAAGAAGATGATGATGATGGTGATGATGATGCTGGTGATGATGGTGCTGGTGATGATGATATTGATGATGATGATGATGATGATGATGATGATGATGATGATGATACTTATGATGGCGATGCTGCTGATGATGGTTCTGATAATGACCGTCATGGTGAAGGTGATGGTGATGGTGATGGTGATCGTCATGGTGATGGCGATGATGATGATGATGATGATGATGATGCTGAGTATTGATGATCAAGCTAAGGCTGCAGCTAAGGATGATTATGATGATGTTGTTGATGATGATGTTAATGGTGACGATCATGGTCATGATGATGCTGATGGTGATGATGATGGTGATGATGATGTAAGTGATGATGATAGTGAGGAGGAGGAGGAGGAGGCGGATGAGGAGGAGGATAAGAAGGCAGCAGGATAACGAAGAGGAGGAGGAGGAGGAGGAGGGCACGAGGTGTAGGAACGACGTTGAGGAAGAGGAGGATGAGGAGGAGGAGGGTGTGGAGGACCCGGAGGAGGACGAGTGATGATGCTGATGATGATGAGGAGGAGGATGAGGAGGAGGAAGCGGATAAGAAGGAGGAGGATGCAGGAGGAGCAGGAGGAGCATGTAAGAGGGAGGAAGCAGAGGAGGAGCAGGAGGAGGAGCAGGAGCAGGAGCAGGGCAGGCGGAGTAGGAATGATGTGGACGACGAGAACGATGAGGAGGAACAGGAGGAGGCAGAGGAGGAGTCGGCGGTGTTGGAGGAGGAGCAGCACAGCTGATGATGATGATGATGATGGTGATGATGACGATGATTTTTGCTAATGATGATGATGGCGATGATGATGACGATGATGATGATGGCGATGCTGCCGATGATTATGATACTGATGATGATGCTGGCGATGCTATTGATGATCATGATGATGGTGAGGAGGAGGAATGTGATGAGGATGATGGTGGTGACGCTGATCATGCTCATGGTGCTGATGTTGTTTATGCTGATGGTGACTATGGTGGTCATGCTGATGATGATGATGATGAAGATGATGATGATGATGATGATGATGATAATGCTGACGATGAGGATGACGATGATGATGTGAAGATGATGATGCCGATGATGATGTTGATGATGATTAGGATGACGATGACGGTTGTGGCGATGATGCTGATGAACATGATGAGAAGGTTGGTGATGACGACGACGATGTTGTTGCTGATTCATGGCGATAGTGATGGTGACGATGTTGACGGTGATGATGGTGATGTTGATGAAGCCGATGCTGATGATGATGATGATGCTGATGCTGACTAGGATGCTGATGTTTATGCTGATGGTGATGCAAATGATGATGTTGTTGTTGCTGATGGTGATGTTGCTGTTGTTGATGATGATGATGACGATGATGATGCTGCTGATTCCCTACCTAGGCTCTGCCTAGAGGGTTCTTACTCTTTTCTTAAAGGGGCCGGGCAGTGCTAACCGCCCCGGGCGGTTCCCCCGGTATCCGCCCCGCGGTTCCCCCAGTTACGTTCCCTTAGCTTAGCGTTGCTTATCTCATCTTAGCTTAGCTCATGTCATCTTAGCTTAGCTTAGCTTCATCTTAGCTCAGGTTTATCTTATCTTAGCTTACCTTCATCTTAGCTTCGCTGAGCTTTAGCATAGCAGAGCACAGCATAGCATAGCATAGCGTAGCATAGCATAGCGCAGCATAGCATACCATTAGCATAGGTGTAATTCCCTACCTAGGCTCTGCCTAGAGGGATAGCTTAGCTTAGCTTAGCATGGCGCAGCGCTGCATCAGCATAGCATAGCATAGCATAACATAGCCAAGCATAGCATAGCATAGCATAGCGCAGCATAGCGCAGCATAGCATAGCATAACATGGCATAGCATAGCATAGCGCAGTTTAGCATATCACAGCATAGCATAGCTTAGCATAGCACAACGCAGCATTACATAGCATAGCTTAGCATAGCATAGCCTAGCATAGCGCAGCATAGCATAGCATAGCATAGCAGAGCGCAGCATAGCATGGTATAGCAAAGCATATCATAGCATAGCGACTAATGCTGCTTTCCTCGGGGCTCCAATTTCTAGATAGGGTCGCACTGGGGTAATGATGATGATACTGGCTGTGATGCTGATGTTGGTTATGATAATGCCAATGATGATAATGATGATGATGATGATGATGCTGATGATGATGATGCTGATGCTGATGCTGATGCTGATGCTGCTGATGCCGCTGCTGATGATGCTGTTCTTGCTGCGGATGATGATGTCGATGGTGAAAGTGACGATGTTGATGATGATGTTGATGATGCTGATGATGGTGCTGCTGATGATGATGATGATGATGATAATGCTGAGGATGATGATAATTATGATGATGATTCTGATGATGATGCTGCTGATCATTATTATTATTATTTTTAATGGAGTCGGTGCTCATGGGGGAGGGGCAGTTCGGGAGTGCTGAGAAGAGCCCTCTGCCCGCGCCAAGCGCGTACAAGAGCCGCTGTGTGCTACGCTCACGTGCAGGCGCGGGTCACTCCGCCCCGCACAGCGCGCGATCGGCGGGGCGCGCCGCCGCCGATCAACACTCGGCAATAGTTTACAGAGGTGGCTGGAGCAGACTCCGCGGTGGACACAATCACAAGATCCACAGTAGCACTGGCAACGACAGGGTTGTTACCAAACTAGTTCACTGAGGTGTCTGGAGCAAACTTCACAAAGGTCGCCTGATCCACAGTGGCGCAGACAATGCCAGTGGCATCAATCGCACAATCCACAGTGGTGACGCAACCCCTTCGCCAAAGCCCGTTCGGGCAGAGGCTCCAGGCCCCGCGAAACGTCTCGCCGCGATGTCCGATCACCGCAGCGGGCGAAAGGTTACGTTTTTGATGTGTGATTGTCCGACCTTGCATTCATCAATGCGTCCCCGCAGCGGACGAAAGGTAACGGTTTTGTCTTGTGAGTGTCCGAGCCTGCGT